GAGCTAAAAAGAAATTTATTGAAACAGTATTACCCTCTCGAAGTAATAGAAGTTGGGATAAATAAGGCTTTGGCAATTAATATTCAAAGACTGAGGGCTACTAAAGCAAAAGACAGTTCGGATAATATCATTACCTTTGTCGCTACTCATAATCCCCAACATCCCAACTTCTTTAAATAATGTACGAGAGTAGGGCAATCCTGGCATCAAACGACAACCTCAGAATTAAATTTGATAAGGTTCAATTCATTAAATCACAAAGACAGCCACCTAATCTGAAGCGTCTCCTAACCAAAGCAAAATTCAATTCATCTATCACAAGGACCGGCTTTTATGTATCTAAATGCCCGGATCTTCGATGTAAATGTTGCGACCATATTACGCCAAATAGCAAATATAATTTTCCTAAGTTTACATTTAGTGTCAACGACAATATGAATTGTGACACAAAAAATCTCATATATGTCTTGACTTGCAATGGGTGTCTAAATTGTTACATAGGAGAGACGTCCACGCATCTACGGGATAGAGTACGCAACCATCGACGGGATTGTAATATTGAAAATGGGCCCTTATTTGTAAATAGACATATTTTTAAATGTGCACAACACCTAGAAGTAAAATTCCAAATTTTCCCTTTTTATAAAATGAAAGTCGATGACACCACGAAAAGGAAATTAATGGAAAACCATTTTATTAAAAAATATGTTCCTCGACTTAATAGTCAATAAGTAACAATTGGCCATTAGCTTCATTAATTTTCTTAAATCTATCCCATGATTATCTTAAACTCATTGTTCATAAATTGAACCCCATATACTACAGATTAACACATGTGTGTACATGTTTCTATTAGTTAACGATATACTATGTGACCATAGATAATGGTAACTATAGCCAATTGAAACCACAGTGTTACTATGTAAATATGTATAAATATACTATACTGTCCATCTTTATACAATGACATTATTTATGAATAGTCCCAAGACGGACGAAAAGTACTTTAAAATGTTAAAATGTTATTAAACCAGTGCTGAAATCAGTTTGTGTCGGCATACCTTTTTTATCTTTTCATAATTTACCGTGAAACAAAGTAGTGCAGCTTTGCGGTTGTGCTAATAATTTTGGATATATATATATATATATATATATAGATGTTATATAACAGAGTGTCAAATCATTGCTGTTACTTTAAAGGCCTTAATTTGTAAGTATCACGTGCAGATGATCGAGTTAGATTTGTCGGCGGTATCACCCTCGTTTGAAGCGGCTGTTAACTCCCACTAATGAACAGCAGTTCCTAAGCGCAGTTCATATCCACGTCAATTATTGCCTGAAAAAAAAACTGTGAAATCTTGCGCTTCTAAAACTCTGTAGATGTCGTGATATATCAAACTGAAACACAGGGTGTTAATACAGAGTCTATAATAAGTATAGACCACCTTCAAATATGCAGTTGTCGTGAACACAGGTAAATATAAACACTTTATATTATGGATGTCTACTCAAGCTTTACGTTCACATGCGACTTAGAATGCCAGAGTGAGATATCTTGGTGATTTATGTATTAACACATTACGATTTTATTTCAATAACTGGGGGTCTTTAGCAGTGTGTGGGGGGGGGGGGGAGAGCACGGAGAAAACCCACGAGGTTAGGCAGTTGACTCTACTCCTTATTACGTACACAGAGAGAGAGAAATGAGGTTTAACGTCCACTCGGCACAAACTAGGTCATTTCGGGACTAACATATGGTTTAATTTTATTTCAATAATTCGCTTGCGCGTAGGGGTCTTTAGCAGTGGGAGGGAACCGGAGGACCCGGAGAAAACCCACGAAGTTGGACAGGCGACCCTACTACTTGTCACGTACAACCGAGGATTCGAAACCACGCCAGTTGACTCAATGACAGACTTTATGATACAGCGCGCGCTAACCATTCAGCCATCCAACCCCCCATATTACGTCCAAGCTATCGAGATCGAAACCACGCCACTTGACTGAATGACAGATCTTATAACATGGCAATTTCTAGGCTATTTATGGTTTGATTGTTTGTTCGACGTTATTTCGATGAACGTAGGAGACATAATATGCTCTAAGCATAGGGCTAGTGGGGGGAGGGGCAGCTGGAACAATTGTCCAGGGGCTCGGAGCCTAGGGGTATGCCGAGTAATTTATTTTACATTTATAAAAAATACACTATTACTTGAGCGTAAAGTAGAAGGAAACTGGTGACTTTTCTAGAAAAATTGCTGAATTAAAAACGATAAGCCAGCTGCCCGGGCATTCGCGCCCGTCCTCGTTCCGTTTGAGGCTCTCGTCACTGTCAGTGTATCCGGGCTTCCTTTCCTTTGAATCCTGTTCAACATGTTTTTGGGTATTGAAAAAAAATTAACGAATACTTTGTTATGAAGAAAATTTTCTTTTTGATATTTTGGCTGGCGTCTGATGGTCACGGTTTTTGTTTTTTCCATTTGTTTGTTTGCTTAAAATGTCCTGTAAAAATCGTGTTTATCTGATTATTATTACATCAGTAAACTAAGATAGGTTGCCAGGTAACGAAACATACGCCCACAGCAGCTATATCGTCCGAGCAGTCAACAAGAGTTGTAGCATATTTTTACTTTTTTCGTAATGAAACATTTATAATAAATTAAAATCTGATTAAGATTAACAACTCATTAAGTAATTATCAGAAAACCATTAGAATTTGTTTGGTTTTTATAAAACGCAGCGCATGTATTCGGTATGTCGTGTTAAATATGAGTGCAATTTTTAGCCGTGATAACTATTATCTACGGCTGCAATTGATACACTATTCGAGGCTTTGAGCAAGTAAAATTAGGTTCAATTGCAAAATTTTCAACACATATCATCACCGTCTGCGTGGAAATAAGTAATTATGTTACCAATAGTGAAAAGTGGAACACTGAAATCATAATCTTATCTTACCGAACAGTTTTTCTGTATTTTCGGGTGACATGAAACCCCGTGATTCTGGTTCGGTGGCCATTTTAAACTGAACAGAAATTCCGCAAAGCAGTTGGGTTTAATCAAATCATATAATTATACGGTAAAGTTTCACCTTTATTTCAATGGGAATTGGTTTGTTATATGTTAAGCTATGTACACTGTACAGTACAGTTTGGGGTCAGTGTTATTGGAAATTAAGAGAGTTGTAGGCCAGTAACTTTTTTTGTAGTCAATTGACTACAAAACTTTCTCAAAGGAAGGCCTTAGGACGGTCCACTACTGTGGCTGGAGCAAGACGAAAGACATCAGTAGTGGAACCATTTCTAAGTGACCTCCAGTTACCCCAGATATACGCCAAAATGACACTAGAAACCAGGTTTCTTTCAACCATTTTCGAGCCCCTGCGGAGATACCCCTAATCCTCTCGCGCCGCCGAGTTGCTGCCCTGGCGCATTCCTACCGGATACGCGCCAGGGTATCGACTAAGATACTTGTGGTAATTCGTCGTTTCGGGTTCGTCGTGTCAGATTATATGCTATGTCACTATTACCAACTATTGCACCCATTGATTGGGAATATGACATGTTTTGAACGAGGAAGTTTTTAATTGATAGATGGCCATATTGATTAATCAATCAACACGCTGTCACTTAATCAGTGATAACGTGAATTTAAAGACATACGTAACTATCGCTCGAAAACCAAATATAGCTAGCTATACTTCTCCGCAGGAAGCGGATCTCTTATGTTCAGAATGGTGAAGAGAGATCAAGGCCCTGTTACGTTGTCATATATAATAATATTAATTAATAGCCACGTTCTTCCAGTATCATAACATCAATTAATAACCACGTTCTTCCAGTTTATTAATATGTACTAACAGCTATACACTCTGCGCTCGAGGGTAAATAGAGGTGTCGGGATTTGATAAATAGAAAAGTTTTGAGAACTGTAAGGATATGGTAAGGTTTAATTTACTCAAACATGGACTTGTAGAACACAGATAATTCCAATGGTAAAATGTGGTGTCACTTTTGATAAACAGAAAAGTTTTGAGAGATTTTGTATTCAATTAATATTTGACCTTTGGTAGGCCTACACTCGACAATTGTTTAATGGTGTATTGAGAGCTGTTGAATAACGATATAGAAATTCTTATCTTATACTATAAGTAATATATTACTTTTTGGTAGGTCTACACTCGACATAGATAAACATGATTTGTGTTTGGAGTTTATAGGGGAGCCGCGGGTTTCCAGTAAGATATTAGAGACTTTTGGCAAGAGTAATTTCCTGGTCCGTATCGCGTATCCGTATGAATTTTGCGTGTGACGTCATCAATGTCTGTGTATTTCTCATACGTGATACGGCACACGCATACGGCAGCACGTATGGAACGGCTTTCATTCGGAAATGGTCCGTATAACACTGTTGTCTTTTTACCGTCTTTTTTGCTACTTTTAGACGCTGAAATGTTGCATCATAGCGTTTTTATGAATCTATGTGTATCCTAGAACACGAAGGTGTATATTTGATGTGATTTTAACAGTGATAACGACTGGAATTTAATCATTATTTTTGATGTGTTTTTCTCGGAATTTTCATATTTTTCCCGCCTGTCTGCATACTGGTTGATCTACGGGCTAAACTTTCTGAAATGATACATTAGTGAAACCAAAAATTGCTAAAATCTGCCAAAACTATAAAACTACATTGACGCAACGTATCACGTATACGATACGGATACGGGATACGGATGGGAAAAATCCGCTTGCCAAAAGTCTCTAATGGCTCGCTAATCTGGAGGTTCCGTGTATTGCCCGAGTAAGTTCATTATTCAACGTATAGTTGTTCGGATGGTAGTAAAAACCGAGGTTCCGTGTAAACATTGGCGTGCACGTAAAAGAACCCTGTGCAGTTGGAATTCGATATAAGAGTAGGCCGTAGTGCCACTGTCCGGGCAAAATTTGCCAAATAGTACAATAGTACAACTTTGCTCGTCTTCATTAGCCCAGTCAGAGCAGAATAGTAGGACGTTAAACCTTATTTCATTTAATTTTCATTGAAGTTTATGGCGTTGACATCAGAAGCCTGGAATAAAGTAGAACATAAAGTTGCTGATACAATAAATCTATGTTTAGGTGGGTGCAACACTTTTTTTTCTTTTTTTTAAAATAAATAGATAAAATAAAAAATAAAATAAAATAAAATAAAGATAAAGCAAGCGGCTATTAGACGCAGTAAGGTGCAGAAGGGGCTAGCAGCACGGGGCAAAAGCGTAGTCATATTGAAAATCGTCATAAAATTGTGTTGATACATGTTTGATTTTCGTTCATATGTAATTGCAGTGTCACATGAAATCCGAGACTAGGCAGTTCTATGTTTAATTTAATGTTATAAAGATTATAAAGAAGAGCACATGGAAGTTTGATCTGCTTGAACAGAACTTGAAGATAATAAAGTTGAGATTTGATCTGCATCCACGGAACTTGAAGATTATAAAGTTACAGATTGGTCTGAATCCACAGAACAGGAAGATTATAAACTGTTTATCGATGACATCATGAGACAATTAAATCTAAATAAAGAGTTGCGCTAAGATCGTAAATGATCTACCGTACGATTTATTACCAAAACTTGAAAGAAAAAAAGCCTAGAGTGAAGACGGGTAGCTATTTTCAAGTGATATTTCGGAACGAAGTTGATTAATTTTTCTGATCAAATTGAGCACCTACCTCAAAATAATGAAATCTAGTAAAAAACTTCATAGATGGTTTATGCTAATCTCGGTTGTTAGTTTAATAACGGTTTGGATATGGCTTATTATGTTCTCTCACCCAATTTTACAAAACAACCTCCGGTCCAACCATAAATTACAATTTCCGTCGTTCAACTGTCCAGATGTGTTGAGATATATGACTCAAGGAAAATGGATACCAGAAAAATTAAACTCATTTGCGCAAATGGAAATTGACATATTTTTAGAAAAGGCACGGAAAGATTTTTACCTTCCAGGAACTCTTCAACGATTGGATAATAAATGTGGAAACGTAACGTTTGATTGGTTAGTCGGGTTTCAACACCCGTTGCTATGGTTTCGTGCACTGTGTGATCCCAAAGGTAAAAACCCTTGTTGTTATGACAACATGTGTACAAACCGACCAATAGAAATGTGTAAATGTCCCGGTTGCTATGATATGCGACAACAAGTGAATGCTGAGTATGCTAGATGGGATTCCGTACACCCAGGTTGCCAGGTTCCGTTACGATCTCTAGATAATATGTGCAACAGTTTAAAAGACGTCACCATTTATTTTATCGGGGATTCATTCATACGTCATATGTATACTGCTTTTCTAATGTTGGTCACGGGAGATATGTATGACGGTGCCATGGCTGCCGAACTTATGTCACCCTGTAAGTATCATTTATATTTAGTTGACTATTGGACAGCTATATCAGCCTAAGCCATCCTTTGTTTACGTGCACTATAGTGAGGCACGGTGGCTCAGGTAGTGAGCCGATTGACTCACTAATTTGGGTGTCTCCGGTTCGATCCCAGTCTTTGAACTTCGGGATTTCCCAGCGTGGTTTGCCCTTGTCAGTGATTCAAGAACAGTCTCTTGTCGTTGTGAGGGTTAAATAAGTGAATTATGTTAATATGATCGTAGTAAACTTCCATTGCGCCACAGTGCCACAACAAACATAAAAATTAACCAGAACCCAGATGACAAACGAGCAGGCAGGAATAAAACACGGACGCTGTAAGTTAGAATCAAGTGAATGGGGTGGCTTGGGCGGCTGTAAATGTTCACTGCGCTTTACAGTCTATACCACATTTGTCGAGTCGGTCGTATGGGTCGGAAACCAGAGTCACAATTTGGTATGCACGTAATATAACCCTTCACGGTTGGAATTCGAAGGCGACTGGGCAGAGTTAGCGCCACTGTACAGACACAGTTTCCCTCAACACACATGGCCTGACGTATGTACGACTTCATTAGCCCGATTGGTGTAGAATAGTAAAACGTTAAACCCCGTCTCCATTTCATTTCGTTACATTTACGAATTCGTATCCTAACATTTATTTCTGAATTAAAGTCAGAATTCCACTTTGAATGTCAATCTAATTAAAATACAGATCTATATTTTGTTTCGTTTTTTATACTTTCGATGGCCTACACTACATGTAGATCTGACAAGTTATAGCGATAGGTCACGTCAGGGGTCAAAAGACCGACTTATGATCCTATGACGTCAGACATTTGATTAACCAATCAGCATTGATGTTACTAGTGGATTACCCACAGTTCCGTGAAAAGCTCGCCGTAACAGACCGTTTCATTGGCTTATCCCTGACACCATTCATAACACGAGTTAAATAATCACTCTTCCAGATCCAAGTGTAGTAAAGACAAGTAAAATGAAATTTTGAACTATAAAAACGAAACGAAATAGGATCTGTGTTTTAACCAGATTGCTTTGAATGTTATTTTTTCAGATAACCACAGTAAATGTTTGGGTATGTATGCGTTTAGTGAACGAGATTGCCGAGGATTTCTTCAACCGAAAGCAGAATTGTGTCACAAATCGCTTAATGTCGAAGTCATGGAACTTTCTAGAATAGACAACAGTGATTTAATCATTAGAACTATCAAAAAACTTGAAAATCACCCAAAAAGTATGGTAGTCATGGGAATCGGTATCCATGACAACTATAATTCAGAAAAGACTGCAGACACGTTGTTATCACCAATAGTAACGGAAAGATTCGCGTTAAATCAAACATGGCCGAGACTTTTGTGGGCTGCACCGCATGCGCCTGGATTGTTAAAGACGCCAAGAGTTCCGGAACAAAGTCATGCAAGTGTGATAAAGTTTAATGACAATATCAGATATTATTTAAGCAAATGGAATATTCCAATATTTGACAGTTTTAATTTAACTAATGGTGTGAATAGTTTTGATGGAGCTCATTATGGACTTGGTGTTAATTTAATCAAAGTTAAAATATTAATAGAATATATCAGAGAATTAAGATCACGAGAAAAATGGTGAATTTAGTGTTACGATTAATAAATGTTTTTAATTTTAATGCCTTTCAATCTGAGATAATGAATTGTGACATTTTTGCTTCGGGCCCAATCCAAAAAGTGCACGTAATATAACCTTTGGTAGTAGGAATTTAGTTTTACCATCCATCCTCAATGTGTAAACATATGGATCTAGTTTTACCATCCATCCTCAATGTGTAAACACATGGATTTAGTTTTACCATCCATCCTCAATGTGTAAACACATGGATCTAGTTTTACCATCCATCCCTAATGTGTAAACACATGGATCTAGATTTACCATCCATCCCTAATGTGTAAACACATGGATCTAGTTTTACCACCCATCCTCAATGTGTAAACACATGGATCTAGTTTTACCATCCATCCCTAATGTTTAAACACATGGATCTAGTTTTACCACCCAACCTTAATGTGTAAACACATGGATTTAGTTTTACCACCCATCCTCAAGGTATAAACAAAAAGATGAAGTTTTACCACTCATCTCCAATGTGTAATCACATGGATTTAGTTTTACCATCCATCTCCAATGTGTAATCACAAGGATTTAGTTTTACCATCCATCCCCAATGTGTAAACACATGGATCTAGTTTTACATGCACCAAAAGCAATAGGGATTATCCTTCCTTATGGTATAAGGAATAAGTATGCAAAGTTTCAAGACAATCTATAAAGAATTGCGCCCTGTGAGCGACCCACAGTAACACACGTCCACATTATGAATGTAGACGTATAAAAATCACGTCATGATCCGAATGTATAAATAATGAATTGCACCAACCATAGATTTATCGTTGATATTATACATACGTACATAAATTCACACACCGTCTTTTTTATATTATTTAGTCGGAGCAGAACATTATATTATATATATTATTGGCACCCCTTTACAACAAGGACGTTACTTAAATATCTATTTTTTTTTACACATGATCGCGTCAAGGAGCATAATGGGTTTGATTATTTATTTTCATCGTGCAAATCAGTGAGGTGTTATATGCCAATTGAAATGGAGCATAAAAGGTCTGACTATTCATTTTATTCGTGCAAACCAGTGAAGCGTTACATAGAAATAGTTGACAGCCCTCTTAATGCTATACGTTCCCACTATCACGATTTGCGCCAGGAAGACGCGGCAGTAAAATTTTCCAAATGTTCTCTTTTTTTGATGGGGTGGGGGCTGGGGTACAACACGGTAAGGCCTTCGCCTCTCGCAAACGCCCGGTATCGCCGTCTGTAATGCCCCCGTCAGACCGGGGTGGTGTCCTTACTGTGCTGCATCGCTGAACCTTGGCGTTGGTTTTGAACATGCTCAAAACAAACGCCGTGATTCGGCGATCATTGGCGACCACGGAGACCACAGCACAATATCTGGCGTTTCCACCACGCTTATGGCGATTTTGACGCGCTCTGCGACCATTTTCCGCCGCCATAGCGTCGCAGTAAGAACGCCACCCCGGTATGACGGGGGGGACGGGGGTATAACCCGGGCATTTTTTTTAGGGTATTTCAGATTCTGCCTCCTCCCCCCCCCCCCAAAAAAAAAAAACATTCATCGATCCCGTACGCCTAAAATAACCCCTTTTACAGAGGCGTTAATGTGTGCGTGTGGGTGTGTGTGGGTGTGTGTGTGTGTGAGAGGGTGGGGGGGTCTCGTACTAAATGAATTAATGAGGTAAACAAACAATGCCAAAATAGAAGGGGATAATCTTGTGTGAATCCGGGCACCTAAATTGCAACGGTATAGTATAAAATAACCTAGTCAACTTGTCATGTTGTCATGTTTTAAAAAAAAAGCCCTTTTATTATATGTTGGTCTATATTTTAAAATATATTCTTGATTGTCATGCAAATAATATTAGTCGAACAGTTGGTAAGAAGTTATCGGAAGCATAGTTTGTTTCAGAAATACATAAAAAAAATCTTTAAATTATGAAATGTTAAGGCGATCTATTGCACTTAAAAAATTTCACTTGTTGCATATTTAATCCCAAGAGAAATTGAAACGTATTTTACTCATGTTGTAAGTGTTTTCAACAAGTGTACCAATTTTCTCTTACATGGTATCAATGTATGTATATCTAGTATCACCAGAATGTAAGTCTGCCGGGTTTCTGGTGCCATGCCCCCCAACTAGACTTGTAGAACACAGGTGATTTCGAGGGTTAATAGAGAGGGTGTCGTGATTTGATAAATACAAAAGTTGCAAAGTTTAATCATGGACCGTGGTTTAATTTACTCAAACATGAACACGGGTAATTCCGAGGGTAAATGAGGTGTCACTTTTGATAAACAGAAAAGTTTTGAGAGATTTTGTATTCAATAAACATCTTCGATACACTGTGTTAATATTTGACTTTTGGTAGGCCTACACTCGACATAATTATGCTAAGCAGCAAAAGAAACGTCAGGTTGAAGAGCAAGAGCAAGAGCGCGAGAGAGAGAGAGAGAGAGAGATGGGGTTTAACTTCCACTCGACACAAACTAGATCATTTCGGGCCTAACATATGGTTTCGGATTGTACAAAAAACCGAAATTCCGTGTAAACATTGTAGGTTGTAGCGCCGCTGTCCGCACAACATTTGCCAAATAGCACACGGTATTGCGTATGACCGTATTCATTAGCCCAGTCAGAGCAGAATAGTAGAACGTTAAACCCTATTTCATTTAATTTCATTGAAGTTTATGGTGTGGCCTTTAGAAGCCTGGAATACAGTAGAACATAAAGAAATTTGCTGATACAATGAAAGCATGTTAAAGTTAAATGAAAACAAATAAAGAGAGAGAGAAATGGGGTTTAACGTCCACTCGACTCAAACTAGGTCATTTCGGGACTAACATATGGTTTAATTTTATTTCAATAATTCGCTTGCGCGTAGGGGTCTTTAGCAGTGGGACCCGGAGAAAACCCACGAGGTTGGACAGGCGACCCTACTCCATGTCACGTGGATTCGAAACCACGCCAGTTGACTCAATGACGGGCCGTATGATACAGCACGCACGTGCTAACCATTCGGCCATCCAACCCCCCCCCCCCCGAAAACAAATAAAGATAAAGCAAGTTTTAGACGCAGTAAGGTGCACAAGGTGCTAGCACCTCGGGGCACAAGCGCAGTCATAAAATTGTGTTGATACATATTTGATTTTCTTTCACATTTATTATTTGGATGATTGTTATTGCAGTGTCGCATGAAATCCGAGAAAAGGCAGTTCTATATTCAAGAGAACTTGAAGATAATAAAGTTGAGATTTCATCTGCATCCACAAAACTTGAAGATTATAAAGTTACAGATTGGTCTGAATCCACAGGACTGGAAGATTATAAACTGTTTATCGATGACATCATGAGAGAATTAAATCTAAGTAAAGAGTTGCGCTAAGATCGTAAATGATCTACCGTACGATTTATTACCCAAACTTGAAAGAAAACCAGCCTAGAGTGAAGACGGCTAGTTATTTTCAAGTGATCTTTCGGAACGAATTTTATTAATATTTCTAATCTCATTGAGCACCAACCTCAAAATAATGAAATCCAGTAAAAAATTGTTTATGCTATTCTCGGTTGTTAGTTTAATAACGGTTTGGATATGGCTTATTATATTCTCTCACCCAATTTTACAAAACAACCTCGGATCCAACCATAAATTACGATTTCCGTCGTTCAACTGTCCAGATGTGTTGAGATATATGACTCAAGGAAAATGGATACCAGAAAAATTAACCTCATTTGCGCAAATGGAAATTGATATATTTTTACAAAAAGCACGGAAAGGTTTTTACCTTCCAGGAACTCTTCAACGATTGGATAATAAATGTGGGAACGTAAAGTTTGATTGGTTAGTCTGGTTTCAACACCCGTTGCTATGGTTTCGTGCACTGTGTGATCCCAAAGGTAAAAACCCCTGTTGTTATGACAACATGTGTACAAACCGACCAATAGAAATATGTCAATTTCCCGGTTGCTATGATATGCGACAACAAGTGAATGCTGAGTATGCTAGATGGGATTCCGTACACCCTGGTTGCCAAGTTCCGTTACGATCTCTGGATGATATGTGCAACAGTCTAAAAGACATCACCATTTATTTTATCGGGGATTCATTCATACGCCATATGTATACTGCTTTTCTATTGTTGGTCACGGGAGATATGTATGACGGTGCCATGGCAACCGAACTTATGTCACCCTGTAAGTATCATTTATATTTAGTGGACTATTGGACAGCTATATCAGCCTAACCAACCCTTTGTTTACGTGCACTAAAGTGAGCCACGTTGGCCCAGGAAGTGAGGTGATTGACTCACTAATCCGGGGTCTCCGGTTCTTGTCAGTGATTCAAGAACAGCGTCTTGTCGTTGTGAGGTTTAAACAAATGAATAATGTTGACGGGGTCGTCGTAAACGTCCATTGCACCGCACGGTGCCACACCAAACATAACCAGCAGCTGCCAGACAGGATACGCCCACATTTTGTAAGAGATGGATAGAGAAAAAACTAAACAAAAAGCGATTTCTCGTACAATCAAGGACCATAATTCCGTAAGTTACGATTCGATATGCGCGAATATCAACCGGAACCAAGATTTTTGGGTAATAAAGATGTATTTCAAGTTAAATCAAAATCGGATCAAAATTGTGACTCCTAGAGGGTCCACAACCTTGATATACCATATATTTGCACTATTTGCGTACATGGGGCGACCATTTTGGTCCGGTTTTCACGAAATTCGAACTCAGCCAACATTAGGGTGCAACGGTGATATATTCCAAATTTTTTTTTAAATCGGATAAAAATTGTTACCTCTAGAGTCAGTAGAGGATTATCAGTGGCTGCAGCCTCAGGCCCAAAGATTTTGTAAAAAACATTTTTTTAGACTTGTCTGATACGATTAAAAACGCATAGACAATGAATGTTAGGGGGGGTGGGGTTTAGGCCCAACGGGAATCAACATAGGCCCTGACCCGAAATTAATTAG